GCGAACACTTTGCCCGAAAGGCTATCCCCGGGGCGCCGCTTCGAAACCTTTCCTAATCGGGACAGTTCCCGACAGAAACAGCCGCTGTCTTGAACGTGGCATGGCAGGGTGCTCCCGGGCGATACTTGGCATGCTATTTGTTGGCCCGTCCCTACGATGGCATCTTGCAGATCCGCGGCGGAAATGTCGCCTGGGCTTTTATAGCGGACGATAAGCCGGGCTGGTGGTGTAACCGTGTTTTCGACGCCTTTCCTAGTCATGGCGGCGTCGCTTGAGCATATTTCCGTCGTGGTTTTGACTCAGACACAGAAGGCGTCGGGTCATCCCCCGAATGCTATGAGGACCTCGCGATCTGAGAACTTCTCGCATCTGACGTCAATAACACCAAAACCGAAGCACAGTCAGCAAGCCTTTTCAACTTCTGAATTTCTTCATCGGCATACCCGCTTTCCCAACGACACAACTTGGGAAATTTCGTGACTGTCCTAGGGGAACTATGAGGGGGCAGCTGGCTGCTGCGGCTGTATGCGTGCTCCGAAGAACTCGATACGTCTTCTGAAGCAAGACTCAAAACTAGAATCAATCATAATACCATCCCTTTAAGCGCGAAATCAGATTGCTCCGCATGCTCGTCCCCGAGAGCATCGGCCATCGCAATCCATATCGCCGGCCAGTCTCGCAGGTCGGACCGCGACCTGGCGGTGATTGTGGGGCCGCAAACGCCGATTTCGGACGGACTCCGCCCGCCGGAGAAAAACCTCAATCGGCACACGTGACCCATCTTGTCTCACTCAACAACCTGCACCTTTTGAACCTCACTCACAACCGCGCATCTTCCAAACGGCCAATCTCAAAAAACAAGCCGCCAAAAACAACAGAATATTCCGGCGTTATCCTTCCACCATTCAAAATGTCGACAACACCATCGCAACCCCCAGCCACCTCCGCCGTCCCGGCGCAATCCGACCCCGCGGCCTTCGCCCACATCCAGAACTACATCGAGACCCGCTGCAACGCCTCTCCCATCTACAACTTCCTCTTCAACCCCGGCCTGAAGCTCACCCACGTTTCCAACGGCCTCGTCGTTGCGCGTCTGCCCGTCACCGCCAACCACCTCAACTCCTCCGGTAGCATCCACGGCAGCGTCTCGGCAACCATCGTCGACTGGGCCGGCGGCCTGGCCATTGCAGCATGGGACCTGCGCGAGGCAACCGGCGTGAGCGTTGACATCAACATCAGCTACCTGTCTGGTGCGAAGCTGGGTGATGAGATTGAGATTGAGGGCAAGGTTGAGAAGGTCGGAGGCAGCTTGGCGTTTACGCATGTCAACATTTACAAGGTTGCCGCTGATGGATCGAGGGGCGCGACTGTGGCGAATGGAAGACACACCAAGTTTGTGCGTAGCAGGTAATTCGGCATTGTAGCTGACAGGGAGGAAGATGAACGACTGGCGGGTGTATGGACTGGAGTTCATGACCATTAACATACCTACGTAGAGGTTCTTCTAAACATCACAAAGACCTCCAAACACTACTCCAATAGAGATATTCAATAAGAAAATATCTATGATCATTGCTTCGGTCGTGGGTTTGGAAGCCATCCATCTGGTCCAAATTCTATTGGGCAGGGCAGGCCAAGTGCGCTCCAGAATGGTATGCTGCCATTTGAGACATTCCTCCTGCAGTCTGCCAAATGGTAAGTATTTACGGTCCCAGACGTGAAAACACTGAGCAACTTGCCCCCTCTGAAGCCCGTCGGCCACGTAAGTTTGCCTCACAAACTCGCTTGACCCGACCCAATGATCCAGCGGCCGGGAGATGAGCCTGATGACTTCGTCGTCTCAGGCTTGCGGGTACTTAGGTCCTTGGAGCTTGAGAGCGATGAACTCGTGTCTCTTCAGGCTACCAATTTATTCACGGAAAGTATTTGATTTTCCTTTCGTAGTTGAAAAAGAAAATTGTCATTATTGGATTTCTCTCTTTTATCCAACTGTATGCTTATCTATGTACTCCGAAATCATGTTGTCTGATTAGCTCAGCTTTGCATTCGCCTTTGAACACCCAATCTCCGAATGCGCTGGTATATTGGCGGGTTGTTTCAACGCATCAGCTTCGCGATCTGTCTGCATTCCTCATTTGTTTTCTAGCACCTAATGAGCCGAAACCTACTCGCTCTGCTCACTTCCTAAAACAGAGGACATGCAAGTCTCCTGTTGGCCCTACAGAGAGTCCATAGATCTACAAACCCTTTTGTTCGGGATCCATTGGTTTGGCTGCAAGTCGCTTCGAGATTGTGTATTCAAGGGTATATGATGACGCTGAGGAAGTTATGTGTGTTGTGTCTGCCTTGCACCTCGAAGTCCCAACCCCGAGATGCGGCGTTGATGATTTGTTCAAAATGTTCAGTAACACATTCCGCCAACAAAAGCATTTTTCAGCCTTGCTCGAACGATGAACCCAACAGCCCAGGTAAGAGGATTGACCTGCTTGTGTTGAGTGTCATAGTCTCATCTGAAGCACATGCGTACTTTCCAAGGCCGAATGCCAGCTCAACCGGTGTAAGTCTTTAGATGGAGGGGTGCCAGTAACCTGCCACTCCACAAAGACTTGACATAGTCCTTTCTGCATCATCGACAACTAGGGAATAGCTATCAAATCACGGCGAAAGTTCAGCCGAGATCTCAGCTACAATCTTGTAACACGATATACTGGTCAATTTCTAACTTGCACAAACCCGGTTGCATGGGGGCAAACTAATGGAATACCTCCAGCGACATTCTCATTCTACCGGCTCATTGAAGCACTGGCCATTCGCTAAAATTCAAAGCGCGTTATCCCTTCTTAGTGGTCGCAGCCCCGCATGCTAAGGATTGTGTTCCACTCGTATCCGGTGGGATGGTGTTCATCCCAGCATTGGGAGCCCGGAAAGCCTTGCCTGAGCCCCCTAGACATGCAGCACGATACACCCAGTAGGGAGAGGGGCGAAGAGGAGCTCCGCGATAAATCTCCTCGATTTGCGACACCATCACTTTACCGGAACGCCAGACCGTCCAAGACACGGCAGACGTAGCAGATTCCTGCCGCCAACCTACGTCGAGTGATGTAGATTCCAGGGATGACATGATTTTACACGAAGCTAGTGTGTTACATGTGGAGTTACCATCGCAAGATCTATTAGGTACTGCTTATCGTCAGGAGACTGATTCCCGTTAAGACTGTTCTGCTTCATCACACAACAGAATGCGCGGGATGCGTACTTAAGACTTGGTTCTTGATGCCACCTCCTCTAAATAGGTACCGTACGAAGTCCCTTTTGTGAGCGGCGCAAGGTGCAAGATTAGGCTGAATAGGCGCGAGACGGTAGAACCAAGGAAACATCACAGGAGGTGGGTCATCGTACAAATTAACGCTTCGGATGCAACATGGGTACCTGTGATCCAACTCTTATAACAGGGAGCGTTTGCAGCCGGGAGAATGGATTCTCGCGTTGCAGGGTTGAGAACTCAAATACCCTCCGATTTATTGTCGTGCCATGAACGCGAGTCTGTCGAATGCAGGTTTGTGGCCCAAGAGTAGAATGTGAGGGTAGCAATCAAGGGTCCTGGTACGCACACTTGTTGGTCCAAAACGGGCAGCTCGTGGGTAAGAAATAGCTCAACCTTAATTCCAGGGGTTTGCTTTATCATCACATCTAATCAATCTAGGTGGATCAGGTGAGGCTCGGGATCACCCTCGGATATGTGCCGAACTCCTCAGAAGTCACATCAAACTTAGCATCCCCGTACAGCATTTGACAAGCGAATTCAACATCATCACATCCATGGACCATACCGGAACAGCCATCCTGGCATTGGATTCTCGGTTACGCTGATGCCCACAAAGAATGGCGACTTATCTGGGGCTAGCAAATGCTTGCAGAAGCAACCCATACCGGCCGAGGTGGTCCGAAATGTCCTCAATTCCAAGTTGCATGCTGCCGCTTGACATGCTCCTCGGTCAAGTTTCAAATGTTACGCCGATTTTCTCTTTTGTTGTCTTTTTCTTTCCTTCTTTTTACTCTGGAAACAGGAATTAAAGGCATTTGGCGCGAGAAACGAGCCCCTCAGCGCGCACACACTCTTGGACAGCTTCTCGTTAGTCACGACTGACTCCCCGCCACGTAGGTATTTACGGATGCATAATTGAGATAACCATTCTCTAAACTACCTAGGCCTACATGAGAGCGAATGTATCAACCCCAAATTCTCATAGGCGCCTCTTACCACAACTTGAGCCGGATCCTGACTGCTACCGTTTTGGTTCATTATCTGGGGCATCCCGCAATCCCTTGTACCAAAATCAGGAAACTAGAAACCAGGGAATTGGCACACAAATAACCATAAAATGGCACCATTTTACCACTTTTCTACCTAAGCCAAGAGCATTCATTCATGGGTGACAAACACAATGTACTCATCAGAACTTTCTATTCCGTAATAAGAGTGGTCTGGACCTTCCAGAACAGGAGGTTCGCCGGCATAGTTACCTTGCATTCGGGCCAAGAAGTTAGTGTGCCTGAAATCTATAGCTGGGTTTACGCACATGCAGCCGTGCGGCTGGTCAACACCACTGAACCTCGATGCCCCTCTCCGTCTGCATGTCCAATTGTTAGGATCATGCAGGATCTAGGTGGGATAAAGTCGCTTCGTCGTATCATGACTGCGCCTAAGTCCGACATCGCCGAGAAGAAGCACATGGCATGGAAAGCTCCGAGAACGATTCTTCATTCAGCATGGACGAGTTCAAGAGTTCAAATACGCTTTGGGAGACAGGCAGAGATTCGAGCCATAGCATTTGTGCCTCATCATCCTTGTCGTTCTCTGCGACGCTCTCTTGTCTGCTCTTCATCATCACAGTAATTCTCATTACGGCAGAGCTACATGGCGGCAAAGCTCCTCTCGACACTAGCAGCATCGCTGGCTTTGGCGAGCATAGGCCAGAGCGCGACTGTGCCAGGCAATGATGCTGCTCTCGCTGCGGCAGTGGCCGCTCCAAGCCGGTACATCGTCCTGTTCGAAGAAGGAGCGGTCGCCAACTTTCAAAAGAGACGGCACAATCGTACGTTCCTAGGACAGACGAGTTGGTATACATGAACGCTGACGACTTTTAGGATATCAGAGGCTTTGCAACGACCGTGTCGTCGCACATCCAGAAGAACACGAAGCCGGCCCTGACCTTCGATTCCAGCCTGTTTCGTGGCGTCTCAGTCGACGTGCATGATGCGAACTCCACTTCAGTTGACCAGATCAAGGCTATCGAGGGCGTTTCCCAGGTCTGGCCCGCGGGACTGTTCACCATTCCGCCCACTTCAGAGGCTGTGATCTCCAATTCCGACCGGCCCACATGGTCGCCGCACAACACCACCAGGGTGAACGAAGTCCACCAGAAGGGGCAGAAAGGTGACGGCGTCATCGTCGCCATGATTGACAGTGGTGTTGACTACAACCATCCTGCCCTCGGCGCAGGATTCGGCCCCGGTTTCAAGGTTGAAGGCGGTTATGATCTGGCAGGCGACGATTACAGTCCCGGGGGACCGACCAACCCGGACTCGGATCCGATGGACTGTGCGGGCCATGGTACTCATGTTGCTGGCATCATCGCAAGCCAGAACGAGTACAACCCGGGTGTGGCGCCGAACGCGGGGCTTCGCATGTACAAGGTTTTCGGTTGCGAAGATGGCACCACCGAAGACGTTGTCATTGCTGGCTTCTTGAGAGCCTTTGAAGAAGGAGCTAATGTGATTACTGCCTCTCTCGGCTCGGCGCTTGGTTTTCCCTACATTGCTGCATCCATTGTGGTATCGAAGATTCAGGCCGCAGGTGTGGTTGTCACTGCCGCCGCCGGAAACAGTGGCAGCGCTGGTACGTGTACCAACTCCAACTCCTGACACCGCAGCCTTAACTGACCACGTTTAGGACCCTTCTGGACCACCAACCTGGGAAACAGCTTCGGCACCACAACGGTCGGAAGTGTTGAGCAGAGTGACCGTGTTGTGTACACAGTGAAGGCGCGATCGGCCAACGGCACAACTCGTGACATTGTACAGTCCTCCAAATGACAGTGCAAGATAGCACCTGCTGACCAGCCTTTGCGATGTAGGTCTACATGGAACCTAGCGGACATCCCTTCGATCTCGTCGGCGATCATGGTGCATTCTTCTATCCCGATGTCCGAACTCGTGACGTTTGCGACTTTTTGACTACCCAGCCAAGAGTTCCCAAGGGCAACGTTTTGGTGCAAAGGTGTGTTTGATCACAAAGATCCTGCTCAGAGCTTTGCTAATGTTTCATGTTACAGACAGGGTGACTGTGACTGGTCAAGAATGGATTTGATTACTTGGGGTCGGGTCGAGTGGGTTTTCTACTACGGCAAGCAGGGCGAGGGACTACCAGTTCCGAATCGCTTTATCCAAGATGCTGGAGCTCAAGCCAAAGGATGTGAGTGGATATCATGTCGAAACTTTCATGACTGCGAGAGCTGATCGCGACGCGTAGTGGCCGGAATTACCTACGAGGACGGGCAATGGCTGCTGCAACACTCCGATAACAACATCACTGTCACGTTCGAGTTTGAAGAGAACCCTAGACCAGTCTCTCATCGTTGGACCGACGCCAATGGAGTCAGAATAAGTGCGTTCAGCTCCTGGGGTCCAACATTGGATTGCAGAATGAAGCCAGAGATCGCCGCGCCCGGTAGGCAAAAGCCTTTGCAGACATGCTGCTCTTCTCATTCGGATGTCTCCTAACATAGTCCCGCAGGCGCAACCATCCTCTCCACATATCCGCTCAAGCTTGGGAAGTGGGCAACACTTTCGGGAACTAGCATGGCAACTCCTTATGTATGAGTCCAAATTCCACGGCGAAATTATCGCAAGTACTGACGAAGATGAAGATTGCCGGCGTTGCCGCTCTTGTCCTAGGGTCCAAGGGAGGCCGCCCTGGCTGGGGTCCTGACGCCGCACGATTGGTGCACGAAAGGCTCATCGCCAGCGGTCAGCCCGTCTCCACGAGAAACGATAACTCTGCTTACACGTAAGTTCTCAGCCGAAATTGCCACATTTCACCTCTCATACAAGTCCATATGCTTACACGGCTACAGTCCCGTGGCCAAAATTGGGGCTGGTATTGTTGATGCCGTCAGGGCGGTGGAGTACGATACGTTCGTTTCGCCTGCCAACCTCAACCTGAACGACACCGTGCACTTCAACGGCGTGCACACAATCAAGCTCACGAATAGAGGCCAAGAGGTGGTTACGTACAATGCTACCCACCAGAATCTGAATGGCTTCCAAGCGATTTCGATCAGCACCAAATACGTGGACACAAACCCCGACATCGCCGGTTACTTCGCGTCGGTGACCTTGTCAACCGAAAGCGTCACAGTCGGACCAGGTGAGACGGTTGAGATAACGGCGTCATTCACGGAACCGGACAACGGCGTCTACGGGCTCATGTCCGTGTACGGTGGAAACATTCATTTCTGGGGCTCCAACGGAGAAGACGTCCGGGTAACCTATATGGGTACGATCTGCAGTTCTGTCACTCGATTGTGTTGCTAACCTGTCTTTCTTCTGTTTAGGCGTCAAGGGTTCTCTTTACTCGCAGAACTCGTGGCTCTACACGCCATCATTTATCCAGAACAAGAACTCGGACAGTCTTATTGGTTTCCCTGACGGAGAAGAGTATTTCCATTGGCGAATGGGAGAAACAGCCGGCAGCTCTTTATACCAACAGCTGGGCCAGTGAGGAGCAGAGTTTCGATGTAAGTCAGCGACATCCCAGCATGGAGAACTTCGAAAATGGACACTTGTGGCTGACTGTGGTCTGTTTATCTAGTATGTGGCCAAGGACTGGACGCCTGAGGACTGGGTTCACCCTCCTATTCCAGGCAAGAACAAGTGGTTTGGATCCATGACCAGTTCCGAACGTGTTTTCCCAGCTCTGTTCCAACCTCGAATTCCCACCGGGAGGATGTTTGCTTATGGCTCCATGAACATCAGCCAGGGCACTACTCTGGTACCCGGTGAATACCGCATCCTGGCCAGGAGTTTGCGGATATATGGTGATCGCTCCAACTTGGATGATTGGCAGACAGCGTTGTCCAATTGGTTCACCCTCAAGGCGCTGCCCCCATCAAACTCCACCACCACCACCACATCTCAGACGGCTACTTCTACTTCAACCACTGCACCCACCTCCGCTGCGCCACTCCCACCTATCGCTGTCTGCGGCGAGTCCGTTCCCATCAACCTCACGGCTCGCATTACTACAGAGACCAGCAGATTTGGTCTCATGTTGAGCTCCGACTTCTTGGTCTACGACCGCCGCGGCGACGGTACGCATTTCGAGTGGGCCCTGACCAACGAAGGTTACCTCAAGACTCGCGACATTTCGCGCAGTACACCAGTGGACATCTACGCAGCTGTGCATTCCAACAATAACAGCTTAATCTACATGTACACGCCTGGCCAGATATCGGGAGCGTTCTCGTATCTTACTTGCGCGCGACAGGGAACCGAACTGCTGTGCACAGCCAACGCGAAGTCTTCTTTCTACGACTGCCAAGATCCCGAAGACAACGAGGCTTACGTTCACATCCGCAGCGGCCCGGAAGTTCGGAGCGGCTGTCGGCAGGTAACTTTCAACTTCGAGGATCTTCCGCAGGCGTGCGACACGCCAACTGCTAGTTCTCCTGCGACGGTCAGCGCAGCTCCGACGGTGAGCCTCATGGTTTGAGAGTGGAATATCTTTGGGGGGAGGGGTTTGGGGATTTATGGGATCGATGCTTCATCATTCTTTTCCCAGCTTCACGGTCACTCTTTCGTTATCGTCTACCTCGTGGACAGCCACCCTGGTCCCTGTTTGGGAGCATTTCTGTTGCGTATTTGTGACCTGCTGTCATTTGCTTTACTTTTCTAACATGTACATATTTACAGACAAATTATAAGAGACACGACGTAGGTCACGAAGTCATTGCCACATTGTCGTGTTGTGTTGTGATCCGGGCAGAATTTTGTTCAGGCCATGTCAACCCTGAAGTCAAAGACATTAGTGACTTTCAATACATGCTAGGAGTATGACGATCGGATAGGAGGCATTGAGGAGTGCTTGTGTTGGGTGCTATTGGTGTGTAATATTGGGGTAATCTTTCGCTTCGCACTTCTCAGAGGACCAGAGAATTTGATGGTTGCCATCACCAACCGGTCGGTTTAGATCAAAGCGACTCGAATAAACTTGGATATTGCTTATGTCGCGATGGGGCCCCGACCCCCAAGCTTGGTCGGCTTGACTGTTGTCGCTGAATTGCATGGTGACTTTCGGCTTCATTCATGAGAGAGCCGCCCGACATGGTTTTCTGTGATCGGCGCCCCGCCAACAGTCTAACAGGAAACCTTATCTTCTGCCAGATCCAGAACTCGTGATTATGTGTCCCGGGAGAACCGTTCCGAGACCAACTCAGTGGAAGAAACGGTGATGTGACTAGTTCTCCATGTACTGTCTCTGAGACCACCCCGTCCATGTGCTTGCAGGACTAGGGGGAGGCGCTAAGCCATACACCTGATCCCGCTTGTACACACTACCGTGGCCCCATGTTGCACGAACCTCCTGCTGAGCTTCTAAGCGTGCCAAGCTAGATCATTAGCATCGAAAATGCTCGAGTCTCGGAGCGAGCGGGACATTTTGCGAGATTCTCCGGCCTAGGCGCCTCACACTTGGCGGCCCCAAATGCCGAGACGCCATAACGATACGTGACCCGACTCCCGAGGGCAAGTAATGATGACATCTATATCAACTTGAACGATTCAAAGACTTTTTTTGATGCACTATGGCCCTCCAAAGTGTTCCCGGCAGAGGCATCTTGTGATCAACAAGGTGTGCCCGCAGGCGGTAACCTGCTATGCGAAAGAATCAATAAATGAAGAGACCTCTCCAAGGCCCATATCGTCAGCGGAGTTTTGGATTTCTGTTTTATAAAATCGTTTCATCAGCCTACAGCATAATTCAAGTATGAACCTTTGGTTCTGCGATTTGTATTTTGAAGAAGAAGAACGACTCCAGCGCTAGGTACAACGGCTCCACGCTGAAATGTAGACTTGGACTTCAGCGCGCAGTAGTCAAAGGCGCTTTTGCGCGAAACAGGGGCTCGGGCTTGAGAAGGTGTCCCTAAGGTCCCCCTACCTTATGCAGGCTTTACATAGCCCCGAACTTTATGTACGCCTCATACTTATAAGAGAGGGAGTGCCGTGTTACAACAAACACATATCTGTGGCTTTCTGTAATCCATGGTCTATGGTACAGTTTTCAGTAATTGAATATCAACATCATACTGCCGATCTGACTTTAAGTCATTGGCATCGGCGTCATAACCAATTTCACGGAGTCGCTCGTCTCGAGCTCGCATACGTTTATGCTCGCCTTTATTGTTTTCTCTCTCCATCATTGACAATCAATATGGAGCCTCTCGAAGTTCCCTTAGCGCCAGAGGCGACGTTCGTGAGGATGAGAAAGGACTACTCCCGATCTCTGCTTCAACTTGAGCCTTCGCAGCAGCCTACTTGGGGCAGAGCAAGCCGCGGATCCTGGATGCGCTCAGTCGGATCACTATTCCTTGTGATGTTCGCGCCGACGTTGGTCATCTCCACCACTGTCACTCTTTCTGCATTCCAAGGCTCTCTCTCCGAGTTCCTGAAGGCCGTTCTACAGAACGGATTGATCTCTGTTGTATGGTCAAATTGGCCGCAGTTCAGTCTCAAGGTCACGGGCGTGTTTACGCTCTGGGTTATGTTCCAAGGCATCCTCTTCCGATATCTTCCAGGGCCAACATACCACGGTCAAAGAAGCCCTGCCGGACATCTGTTGACCTATCGAACTAATGGATTAAATGCTTGGTTCATTACCCATGCATTTGCCGCTGCGCTTTGCTACTTCGACATTTTGGATCCTGCCTTTATCCCAAAGAATTGGGGCGGTCTGGTCCTCTCGATGAACACTGCCGGCCTAGTGCTCTCTGTCCTGGCTTTCATCAAGGCGCATCTGAGACCGACGCATGCGGATGATCGGAAGTTTAGTGGTGAGGCAACTGCGGAAATATGTTTGAATGCCCCTATAATGATTAACATTTGCCAGGATCGGTATTGTACGACTTGTACATGGGAATAGAGCTCAATCCAAGAATTTGGGGCGATTTCGATCTGAAGTTATTCACCAACGGTAGACCCGGCATCATTGCATGGACGCTCATGTAGGTTTCTACGAAGATTGACCGAAATTCGCACACTTATGCTGATTTACTCCTAGCGATTTGTCCAACATCGCGTATCAGTACGAGATCCACGGACGGATCGACCCTAACATTGTTCTTGTTACCATCCTGCACGCCGTATATGTCCTTGACTTCTTCGTCAATGAGTCCTGGTACCTGCGCACTATCGACATTGCGCATGACCACTTCGGCTTCTACCTAGCTTGGGGATCTTTTGTCTGGCTCCCTAGCATGTACACCATCCAAACCCAGTATCTTGGACTCTACCCAACAGCCACATCAACCATTTACCAGGTCGTTATCTTCTCTATCGGAGTTGCTGGGTACATCATCTTCAGGTCCGTCAACAGCCAAAAGGACCGGGTTAGGCGCTCCAATGGCCGTTGCTCCATCTGGGGGAAGCCAGCTAAGGTCCTTGTTGCATCTTACAAGACCTCGGACGGTCACAGTCATCAGAGCCTCCTCATTTGCAGTGGCTGGTGGGGCTGGTCGCGTCATGCTAACTACTTGGGAGATTTGCTTTTGAGTAGCGCAATGTGTGCTTTGGTCGGATCTGACAAATGCTTGGTATGGTTCTATGCGATGTTCATGACGATCTTGCTGGTGCACCGGTGCATACGCGATGAGGCAAGGTGTTCGGAGAAGTATGGAGCGATGTGGGAAGAGTACTGCAAAACTGTTCCGTGGCGAATCCTACCTGGGGTTTGGTGAGGTTTTGCGTTCAGCTCCAAGCCCGTGTCAATATTGAAGCTGAAGGTATATAGAACATAGAAGTTATTACCACAGCCTGTGCAAAGCTAGTTTATTTCTAATCATGTCTTCAATGATCATGATTTACGAAAGCCAGTGTCTATTGGATAGAGTCGCCATGAACTCCCACCAGCATATCATTCGGGCCGTATGTTTTCCATATTTGACACTTAGGTAGACTACCGGTTCGCCCAGAAGACAATGAACTTTGTCACAGTCTCTTCAATCAAAACGGTATGTCCTTTCTCACTCGAGTTTAACTATCACAAGAACTTAATCTTCACATAGGTTCCTCAAGCCATAGTGCTTCAACCATCAGAATGGCCTTGAACTCCAGCCAATGCCCGGCCAGACGTCAACGGAGTTGAACTTCTTGTCGACAATTTTGACACGGATCGGGAGACAGACTTGCTGGGGCAAGAAGAGAGTAAGAGTTCACTGAATAGCAGGGCGGAGACAGGACCACGGAAAGCGTTCGGATGCTGAAGCCATTGACTGCCGAAGGTATGTGAGCACTAAGCAGCCGCAGGAACGTCAGATTAGATGCATGAGGCTAACGCTAGCCCCCCTACTCACGTAGGGGGCGAAAAAACAGGGTTTCTACGCAAAAAGGGGGTTTCTACTTAGATCACTAAAAGTAGCATTTTTTAGTATTAATTTACTAAATTAATAACTTCTTATAATATAATTTTTAGCTTTAACTATAGTAACAAAAATAGTATTACTAGATTACTCTTAAGTAAAGCTATCTAGCTATATATATAATATCTATATATTTTATATAAATATTAATAAGCTATAAAAGATAACTATATTATCGCTTTTTATATTATTAATAATATATTTCCATTACTCTACTATTTATATTAATAGAGGTATTATTACAAAATTGATTTTTGTAATATTATTAATATAGAAATATATTAAACCTTCTTATAGAGTAAAACAGAGTATTTATTATTCTACAATTAATATTAGTTTAGCTAATAAAGCTAGTGCTAGTAATAATAGTAATTTAAGCTTATTAGTATTAATAATATTATTATTAGCTCTCAAGTTATTAACTAAATTAATATTTAAAACAGTATTATTACTATTTTCTTTACTAAAGTTTTTAGATTATTATTATTAATATAATACCTCTTTTTAGCTAATATCTCTCTGATATTAAAATAGTTAAAAAGCCTTATATAATACTTAATAGCATCTCAAATCTCTTTTAGTAATAGTATAAAATTAAGATTAATTTACTATTTAAGCATAAATAGCTTATGTTATTAGTTATAAGTTTTTTATATTAAATAATATATAATTATTAATCTTATTAGTATAAACAAACTACTATTTAAAATTTAGTTATTTTATATACTTATTAATTAGTTAGTATTTTATAGCTACATACTTTATTTAGACCTCTTTCTCCTACTTTTTAGCCTCTTTTTTTAATATAATATAGTATTATTTAACCTATTTTTTAGTAGCTTTAATAACTTATATCTCTTATTACTAAATAATTTCTATAAATATTATAGTTTAATACTTCACTAAATTTACTGTTTATATTACTATAACTCTATTTAAGTATTTTAATTAATAATATATTTCTAGCTTTTTTTATAATAAAGATTACTTTCCAAAATTATAAATTTTATCATTTTATAACCCCTCTAAATAAGAAAGCTCTATTTAGCGCTATAATATTACTTAATAATACTAGCTTATAGTACAGCTTTTTTAAATTTATTATTATTTAGTAAATAATAAAACAAAGAGCTAAATATATTAATTTAAGCTAACTATATATATTTAACTAATTAAGAGAGAACTATATCATCTCTAATTAGTTAGATATCTAACTTTTTAAACTTTACTATCATATTTAAGTATATAAATATAATATTTATTATTTAGCAAAAGCTATTAATAAAATCTCTATATATAAACATAAAAATGCTATTTTATATAGCTTTTTATAGTACTATTTAGTAGACCTTTTTAAATAGCTAGAAGATCTATATATTTATAAGCTAAAAAAGATATATAGTATAAAAAAGAAAAAACCTAATAGTAATATTAGAATTAATATAATATTTTATAAATTTTAAGCTAATATATTTAGAGAAGCTATTTAAAAATAATAAACAATATAGCTTTACGCTAGCTTTTATTTAAGATAGATCTCTATATAACTTAATATAAATATTTAGTATTATATTATATATTTTAAGCTAATTACAGTAGTTTCTATATATATTAACGCTAAACTATAACTCTTTAATATACTTAAATTACTAAAACTTTATTAACTTCTTAAATAAATATATATTAGAATACTTAGTATAATCTACTATAATCTCTTAATTAGAGAAAATAATCAGAAATTATATAAAATAAATACTTTTATTAATATTATAATTAGTTTAAATAATAATTAACTATATTTTGAAAATAAAATAAACTAAAATAATATTTCTAATAATATTATTACTACTAACTAAAATATATAACTCTCTATTAACTAAATTAATAACTTTGTATAGTTTATGTCACAGGCTAGAGCCCGGATTGATATCTCCGGCTTCGCTGGAGCAGTTACTGAGATCTGGCTCTGTTGGACCTACTATTCTGCCGCAGTACGCCGCCAAACCCGGCCTGCTTCACCGCTGTTAGGTGCCTACCCTTGTAAAGTCCTTTCTTCCTTCTTCAGCTTAGAATAGTCAATCGACGGCACCTCTACGTTGAACAAGCCTAGGGGCCAGCCCCTTACAGTTTATTCTATTTTTATTAGTTTTAGAATAAAATAATATATATATGGCTATTAAAATAGTTAATATAATAACCAAACTTGTTAATATTTTAACTTTTAAAAAGCTTAAATTTATAATTTTAAACTACAGCTTTATACTAATTGAAAAAGTTCTAAATTAATATTAAATTAAATTTAACACCTTTTTTGGAAACCTTAACAAGTTTAATCTTTAATACTTTTTAAAACTCTAAATAATTAGCTTTTTAGAACCTTATAAAATATTCTAAAATAAAGCTTATATTTTAGCTAGTTTAAAAAATATTAACTATTGTTTAATAATAAGTAAAATAACTAAAAAGCTAATAGTATTAAGCTATATAATAAATATTACTAAAACTAAATCTTTAGCTTCTATTAATAGTTTTAGCTAACTACTCTCTTTAAGTAGTAAAAAAACGTTATAATTAGCTTAAAAAACTTTTAAATATTTTCTAACTATTATATAAAATACTTTATAATCTTTAATAATAGCTTAAATTGATACTACTATAAATAGAATTTACTAAATTAGCTAAAATAGAGAGCTTAACGTTATATAGTATATAATACTTATATAATTTATTTAATAAACATTAAGTTAATATTACTCTAGTAAAATATCTTAGTAACTAAGATTAAAAAAAATAATAAAAAAAAGTATAGTTTTAAGTTATAGTATAATCTCAAAAAAAAAGTTATTTAGTAGTAAAACGAGAAAAATATAACTTTTATATAACTAGCTAGAAACCCTCTTTTTTGCGTAGAAACCCCGTTTTTTCGCCCCTTACGTGAGTAGGGGGAGTTTTGCGCTTGACGTGGCTGACTAACGCCCCTGGGTAATCCCTCGAAATGAAACATATCTCATGCTATCCAATCATCGAATGGTTTACCTTTAGTGTATTTGCCTGGCAAAATGAACCGTCGGTGTTTGTGTGTCACTGTTCCCGACCGCGATAGGGCGCACTTGTCACCTAAAATCGAACTGTCCCAGTGAGTTGGTGGGGTCGATCCGGGCTTTGCACCGCCGAATAATGAGTCACTGCCCTGAACGCGGTCCGGAACTTATTTCCAAACGCCGAACTTCCGATTCCAAAAAGACTCTTACGTCAAACTCGTTTCCCGCTCAAAGTCCGGCGTGTTATTGCTTTGTCGTTATGAGTCTCTCAGCGCGTGCGACGGTGGCGTCAGCGCCCGCCAACGGCTCACTGCTATGGGATGTCCAAGCCGATCTCTGGAACCCAGACAGCAACCCTCAGGGTTACGTGAGTTTGGGCATGGCAGAGAACGTCTTGATGCAAGAAGCCCTCCTCAAGCGCGTTGCGCAGGTTCCTGTCATCCCAGCTACAGCCTTCACTTATGGCGATGGCACAACTGGGTCGAAGCGCCTCAAAAACGCCCTCGGAGCGTTCTTGACCAAGCATTTCCACGCCTATCGGAGGGTGGAAGCTTCACACATCACAATCACGAACGGCTGCAGCGCAGCCATCGAGCACCTCGCCTGGGCCTTCGGCAACCAAGATGATTTCTTCCTGGTGGGCAAACCATTCTTTCGCGCTTTCGTGCCCACGACCGGACTGCGGGTGGCCACAAATCTCATATCAGTTCCATGCGAGGGCCTTGATCCTTTCGGCATCGATGTCGTCCAGAACTACGAGAGAGAAATAGTCCGGGCCCATGGGCGTGGCCAGAAAGTGGCAGGCATCATTCTCTGCAACCCTCACAATCCCCTCGGTCGATGCTACACAAGGGATGCAATCCTTGGTCTTATGAGACTATGCCAGAAGCATGAACTTCATCTCATTAGCGATGAAGTCTATGGTCTCTCGACATTCACAAATGATATTGATTCCATCCCACCATCGACACCATTCACATCTTGCCTCTCCGTCGACACCACGAATATCGTCGATCCGGCTCTCATTCACGTCGTCTGGGGGGTTTCAAAAGACTTTGGCTCCAACGGAATCCGCCTCGCTGCTGTTCTTTCCCAGG